AACAATTAATACACAATTTGTTTTGTGACATTGATCGCAATCTCCACAATGTATTAACATACCTCCCACTTCCTCTAGGTGTTACACTTTCATCCAATCAACTTTTCTATTTATTTCCGTCTTCTGAGTCTTATCTCTGGGTAAATATTGCCCTTTTTAATGTCATATGATTGACCATTCTAAGGACTGCATACGTCCCTTGTGTTCAATAACTAACGGATCATGTGAGCCTCATCCTCCAGGTCCCTGAAATCAGAAGTAGATGGTGTTCAGCTATCACGGCTGACCGCTATGAGAGGGATCATCACAGAGGGTCTTGGTTAGTGTGTTAGTCTGGGTACTTTAGAGAAACAAATCCACAGAAACTCATGCATAAGAGAGTTTTATATAAAGGTTAAGTGCACATCAAGAAAACATCCCAACCCAGTGCTGCCCAAGCCCACAAGTCCAATATTAACCCATATGTCCGACACCAATCCACAAAGGGCTCCTCCATCTCATAAAACACACACTATTATGCTGACTACAGGAGGAAAGTCGAACCAGTGACCGTGTGAGCATCTCAGCGCTGGCAGGGGTCTCCACATGGCCGCTTCAGCACCCAGAGCTGCATGGGGGTAGGTCCATGTGGCTTCTCTTTGGGGATGTCTTGCAGGAAGTGCGCTTTGCCAGCTGAAGCAGGGAACTGGCTAAGGCAGCTGCGCCCTGGTCTATCACAAAGCAGAAGACCGGAGAAATAGAAAGGCGAGACTCATGGAACCATTTATCTCTCCGCCCTTCAATTAACCCCGCATGTGTTTATTGGCCAGGTTGACACAATAAACAAACTACCTCAGTTAGCCTGGGAGAAAAGTTTGGAACCAAGGTCAAAACCATACAAGAGAGCAGCCTTACTGATTGGATAGATACTGTTGGAACCTTCAAGACTATTACATGAACCTCATCCAGGGATTATGTCTTTCCAGACCAGGACTGAACTCGCTTCTATGGCTCAACTTTCAGGCAAACAATAGACAAGATATATCTTTCCTAACATAAGAGGAAACTCCTTTCTGGCCTACAAGACTTTATAAAGGGCAAGAGTTCCCAATATGGTTTCAAAAGTTGCCTGCTCACCAGTTAATCAATAAGTGAGAAATAGAGGGAACTTGGAGATGCAGTCTTTTCAAGATTCAACAGTAACTGGTTACATGGTTCTAGCTAAGTTACTCTACTCTGTCATTCATTATTTCAAGGAAAATAACTGGATTAAATAAATCAAACCTCTTGAGAAACTACAAGCACCATACAAATGCCAGGTAATATTACTGCACATCGATATTTTTAGGCTAGTAAATACTAAGTGCCCCTCCTCTAACTTCCTTTCATAAGGAAATAGCCACAAGTGAACATATTCAGACACGGAAACATGCCACAACCTAATCTAGTTAATCATGGGCTCTTTACATTAATGTACAGCACATGGTAATTGAGAAATTTTTATGTTCACCAGGAAGCTAATAGAAAGTGAAGAACCATCATTAGTGACTCCCCTTTCCTTTGTGCCCTTAAACAGCTCAGTTCCTGATGCAGCTGGATGAATACATTGTGAAGACGAAAGGGGCTCTTAACTTCTCATCTGCTGATGTGGCTGAAAGCATGCAGAGCCTCTAATTGGATATGTTCAGATATTCCTTTAACATGCATTGTGATTAGGCCACTTTAGACAAACAGGATGTGCTGATCAATGAAAACTATTAATGTCTTAAGTGAATGATCAGGATATTAATAATTAATTGTGAGAGGACAATGTCATCATAGAACTCAGGACTGATCTACAAGGTTAAGCAGTTTCTTGGAGCAATTAAAATTAGCTTAGGAAATGTATCTAATTTTCATAGTAAAGATTTCATTCTCCATATGACGGTATTCATAATGCATATTCTGCTCAGAGCTGTCGCTCCTTAAGTGTGGAGAACATGAAGAACCCCGTGAGCCTTCGTCTTCATTCAGGTAGGTAGGTAAGGCTCATCCTCACTGATCAGGAATAATGAGGTCAATGACAGTAGTTGTCCAGTGAACAACAGTGAAACAAACACTAGACTTGCTGATGGGAGCTTAAGATCCATGTGGGACTACAGTACCTGACACAAAGCTTTGTGCTTTGAGTTTCAGACAGAGTCAGAAAAGCCGCTGCAAGATGAGCAGAGGGAGAGTGATACATCTTTTCCGTAGTTTGCAGGTCTCTCTGGTTTGTCCTAAGGTGTGTACCAGAGGTAGTACACTCAGCATTAAATTGATGACCTTGCCCAAGAATTAGACTCATCAATCCTGAAGCGGAGATCACAGGAAGGCTCAAGACTTGGTTGTATGATCTAGCTAAGCCACAGGGAGAAGAATAACTGAAAATTTTATGGGATATCTTGACACATTTCTCCCCACAGAGCAGACCTCCCTCAGTCCTTCAAACAATTCTGATATTAAAAGTCATATCAGAGGTAGCAGGATAAAGTGCTCTAGATAAATAAGCCCACCACTGTCTGTCAGTTTGTCTCTCAGTGGTGGCCTGTGTGCTGGTAATATACTAGAAGCTATGCCCTTGGCATTTCAAATGCTATTACCGTTTCCCATAGTGAACAAGCTTCATGGCCATTACAGACTAAGAAGAAAGAATTGGTGACCTATTTCAGAAAATGGACCATTGAAAACTCTGTGAATCACCCAGGTTGTCTTATACAGTCCTGAAAGATGAGCTCGCTAGGTTAGAAAGCACTCCAGATACATAGTGTTGGCTGAAATGATGGACTTGAATGTACTGTATCAAGAATT